ACTCTCCTTTTCCCTTTCTCCCAGTGTATTCCTGTTTCTCACCTCTTAATTTTATTTTTAAAGATACCATCCCATCATATTCAACTTGCACCTGTGCCCTCTGTCTATATATACTCCTTCTAACTGCCCTAATAATGAAGAAGTTCTTAGGAGTTAGAAGTATCATCTTCCCATGTAGGGATATAAACAGTTTAACCTTATTAAGTCCTTTATGATTTCCCTTACTTGTTCACCTTTTTATGCTTCTCTTGAGTCTTATATTTGGAAGTCAAATTTTCTATTCAGCTCTGTGCTTTTCATCCAGAATACTTGAAAATCCTTTATTTCATTGAATGTCCATTTTTTACCCTGAAGATTATACTCAGTTTTTCTGCGTAGGTGAATCTTAGTTGTAATCCTAGTTCCTTTGTCCTCCAGAATATCATATTCTAAGCCCTCTGATCCTTAATGTAGAAGCTGCTAAATCTTGTGTTATCGTGACTGTGGCTCCACAATACTTGAATTGTTTCTTTCTGGATGCTTGCTATATTTTCTCCTTAACTTGGAAGCTCTGGAATTTGGCTGTAACATTCCTGAGATTTTTCATTTTGGGATCTCTTTCAGGAGGTGATCAATGGATTCTTTCAATTTCTAGTTTGCCCTTCGTTCTAGAATATCAGGGCAGTTTTCCTTGATAATTTCTTCTTCTTCTTCTTCTTCTTCTTCTTCTTCTTCTTCTTCTTCTTCTTCTTCTTCTTCTTCTTTTTTGGTGAGGCAATTGGGGTTAAGTGACTTGCCCAGAGTCACACAGTTGGTGAGTGTTAATGTGTCTGAGGTCAGATTTGAACCCAGGTCCTCCTGACTCCAAGGCTGGTGCTGTATCCACTGTGTAACCTAGCTGCCCCAATAATTTCTTGAAAGATGATGTCTAAGCTCTTTTTCCTTATCATGGCTTTCAGGAAGTCCAGTAATTTAAAAATTATCTCTCCTGGATGTGTTTTCCACATCAGTTGTTCTTCTAATAAGATATTTCATATTGTCTTCTATTTTTTTCATTCTTTTGGTTCTGTTTTATTGTTTCTTGATGTCTCATAGAGTCATTAGCTTCCACTTGCTCAATTTTAATTTTTAAGGAATTATTTTCCACAGTGAGCTTGGAGGCTTTGGATGTAGGAATTTTGACTTTGCTGTCTTCTGAGTGTGTGTTTTGATCTTCCTTGTCACCATAGTAACTTTTTATAGTCAGGATTTTTTTCTGTTGTTTGCTCTTTTCCCCAGCTATTTCTTGACTTTTAACTCTTCGCTAAAGTGTGGCTCTGCTTCCAGAGTGGAGGGTGCACTGTCCTAAGTTTCAGGTCTTTTTGTGAAACTGTTTTCAGAGATACTTTTAGGGACCTGTAAGTTTTCAGTTCTTCTGAGGTGGTATGATCTAAGGAGGTGTTTGCTACTCCTGACCTGTGCTCTGGTCTCAGTGACCACAAGCACTCTTTTATGCCCTGGAACTGTTACAGTGGTCCCTGCTCCATTGTGGCCACAAGCTGTGGCATGCTAATGCTCCTCCTCACCCTGGAACTGCCACCCAGGACTGCCACCTGGATCTCAGTATGGGCAAAACAAGAGTCCTGCCCCCAGTGCCACCAAAGAGACCCCTGTAATCTTCTTCTGACCAGTTGTTCGACCCCCTTACTGTCTATGGGCTGACAGCTCTGGAAGTGGCTGCTGAAGCAGCTGATTCATTCACTCCCAAGGATTGCTCCTGGTTTGCTGGGGCTGGGGCTGAGCTGGCATGGCCTGCAGTAGACTGAGCTCCACTCTTACCCCTGTGTGAGAGACCTTTCCTGGCTGGAAAATTGTTTCACCCCATCCTTTTGTGGGTTCTGCCACTCCAGGATTTGTTTTAGGATATTATTTAGAGGACTTTGGAGGGGTTTAGGGGAGAGCTCAGGTGAGTCCCTGCCTTCTCTCCACCATCTTGGCTCTGCCCCTCTAAGATCCATTCTGGCTCCAATACTCCATAATTCAGTGATTCTGTGAGTTCCAGCCTTTGATATCTTTTACTGTGCTCTATTGAATTGCAAGGCTCAGAATCAGAGTTGGAGGCTCAGAGAGTTTGGGGGATTTGTTAACACTCATTTAGCAACTGAGACTTCTCCCCCTCCCCCCCTCCCCATTGCACAAAAGGGGAAACAAAGGTCTTTGTATAAGGTCATATGGTATTAAGTGCCCTCAAGCTATCATTCCAATGGATTGAATGGAGGAAAATACAGAGTAGGAACTGACTGAAAGTCCAGAGAATGATAGAGAGTAGGGTAAGCAGGGGCCTAGAGGGTTTGAGTGCAAAATTGTTTGTTGAGAGGACCAGGGAGTTGAGAAGTCTGGCAGCTGAAGTTCAGAGACTCAGATTCCTGGGGATACCTTCTCTTTACCAAGACAAACCTCCCTACCTGTGCAAGTGATTCCATTCCATCGTAATTTTACCAACAGGTTGCCCCCTGCCTTATTCCTACCCTTTCATTTTTCTTCAATTCCTCCTTATCTCCTGGCTGCTTCCCTATTACCTACAGACATGCCCAAATCTCCCCCATATTCCAAAAACTCTCACTTGGTCCATCCATCCCCACTCTCATCCCATATCTCTTCCCTTTGGTGGCTGAAATCCTTGAGAGGGCTATCTATAATTACTACCTTCACTTCCTTTCCTCTCTTTTTAACTTACTGCAGCCTGGCTTTCAACCTCAGCATTTAACTGAAACGATTCTATCCAAAGTTACTGATAATGTCTTACCTGCCAAATTTGATGTCCATTTTCCAGTCCTCTCCTTTCCTGAACCTCTCTGCAGCCTTTGGCACTGTTGATTCTCCCCTTTCTCCTAGATAACTCTTTTTTTCTCCAGATTGCTATGACACTACCCTATCCTAGCTCTCCCCCTACCTCTCTGATCATTCCTCCATCTCCTTTGCCAACCCTTTCTCCAGGTCACATCCAATGAAGGTGGACATCCCCTATGCTCTTTCCTGGGCTCTCTTCTCCTCTCCCTCGATAGTGTTCTATTTGGTGAGCTCATCAGCTCCTCATGATTTCAATTATTATCTCTATGCTGATGATTCCCAGATCTTCTCATTCATCCTTAATCTCTCTCCTAACCACCAGTTCTTATTTCCAGCCACCTATCAGATATTCTCCCTCTTCCTAGCTTCTCTATTACCCACCATCCCTAGTGCCATCCCTATCTCTGTCTTCTGTCTTTATATCTGCCCCACCTCTGTCTTTACCCCCTTATCCTTCCCTCTGAAACCATTCCTATATCACTCTTCAGCTTCTATTCATCCATCCACATCTCCATCCTCCTTTCCATCTTGATGCTGCTCCAGACCAGGGTCCTCTATCAAGGCTGGAGATGGCTCCCTGACCATCCTACCCTGAGGTTGAGGGCAAAGCTATCCTTCCAGTCACCCAGGCTTGCAATCTAAGTTTCATCTCAACTCTTCTCTCTTACCCCGCCCCCCATATCTAATCTGTTGACAATTCCTGTTGATTTTATCTTTATAATATCTCTAATATGCCTCCTCTTCTCTGACACTCCATCGCCTTGGTGCAGGCCCTCATCACCTCATGATTGGACTTTGCAACAGCCTGATGGTGAGTCTCCTTTCTTCAAATCTCTCCCCATTCCAGTCCATCCTCCATTCAGCTGTCAAATTAATCTTCCTAAATTGCAGATCTGACTACCTCCACCCCTCCCCCCTTTCAATAAACTCCAATGGCTTCCCTTTACCTCCATGATCAAATAAAAAAAGTTCTTAACATAAAAAGTCCTGCCTCTGTCTTACCCTTCAAGTATTCCTATATCTTATTTCTCTCCACATATTGTGGACAGAATGTGAATACTGGAGACTTGAGTTCAAGTCTGGCCTCAGACACTTACTAGCTGTGTGACCCTGGGCAAGTCACTTAACCCTGTTTGCCTCATAATTCTGTTCTGATGCTTTGTGATCCCATCTGGGGTTTTCTTGGCAAAGATACTGGAGTGGTTTGCCAATTTCTTCTCCAGATCATTTTGCAGATGAAGAAACTGAGGCAAACAGGGTTAAGTGACTTGCCCAGACGCACAGTTAGTGTCTGAGTCCAGACTTGAACTCATGAAGGTGAGTCTTCCTGACTCCAGACCCAGCACTTTATTCACTGTGCCACCTATCGTCCAGAGGAAGTATGGTACTGTTCTAAAAAAGTCTCATGCTTTGTTTCTATGGAGAAATAGAAGCCCAGAGGGGATGGATGACTTATCCATAGTCACGTGGCACCTGGAACTCTCCTCATGGCACCAGAGAACACAGTAGAAGTCCAGAGAAGGCCAGTAATGTATTGATAGCCATTTAGAACTCATCCCATTGTACAAGCAGAGGAAGGAAGCTCAGGGAAGCTGCCTTTTTTATTTAGTTTCCCATGGAGATATGAGGCAATGCAGTAGAAAATTCTGAAACTGGGAGTTAAGGGCTCCAGCTCTGCTGACATTTAATTCCCATTCTGCTTAGTGAAGAGGCCAATCAGAAAAACAGAAAGAAACACAGAAGCCAGCTTGTTTCTTTAGCTTCACCCCCTGGGTCCCACCCCAATGGGGGATTCAGGAAATCCTATTCTCTTGGGGCTTTGGTTTCCTCATCTATCAAATGATGGGGGTGGACTTAGTGATCTCTGAGCATCCTTTCAGCTTTGATGTTATGAATCTCTGATTCACCTAAGCTCATGAGTGGAAACCCAGAGAGGATGAATGTTCCAAGTTACACAATGTCAGTGATTCACCCCGTGGCATGAAAGAAAGGGGGACCCACAGAAGACATATGACTGGTTCAGGGTCACTCACAGCTCTTTGAAAAGCCTGAAGGCAATGAGAGGGTGTGTCTTGTTTAAGAACACAAGCCTGGTGATTGACAGAAGTAGAATGCAGACGCCCAGAGAGGGCTACGTGTTTATCCAGGCTCCTACAGCGGCCCCCTCCCACCACAATCCTTTTTCCCCATAGGTACCTGTGGGTGCGACTTGGAGAACATCATTTGTGGCAATGGGAAGGTCCAGAGCAGCTGTTCCGTGTCACTGATTTTTTCCCCCATCCAGGCTTCAACAGTGATTTAAGAGCCCATGATCACAACCATGATCTCATGCTGATCCGCCTGAAGAGACCAGCCAGGTTGGATTCAGCTGTGCAGCCCCTCAACATCAGTGAGAATTGTGCCAAACCTGGAACCACTTGTCTAATCTCTGGCTGGGGGGCCATCTCCAGTCCTGACGGTGGGTCTTGGTCTGGGGTGGCATTGGGATGCTGAGGAAGATGGAGATAGATATGGAAAAGAGAGACGATGAAGATTAGGGGGTGGGATTAGGATCAGAGATCTGGATCAAGATGAGGACAGGGACACAGAGATGGATATAAAGATAGGTATGGAGATGAGAATGGTGATGAAGATAGAAATGGTACTGAAGGTAAAGGATGGGAGTAAATATAAGAGATTGAGATGGGGATGACAATGAGGGTGGAGATGAAGGGTGTGCTTGAGGATGGGGATGGAACTGGGACACAAAGATAAAGGAAGAAGAAAGGGATGGGGATGCATTTGGGAATGGGATTGGTGATAGAATAAGATAGAGATGGGGACATAGTGGGGATAAAGATAGAAGGTGATAGAAGGGATAGGGTTGGAGATGGAAATGGAGATGAGGATGGAGAGAGAATTGGAGGTAAATATAAAAAATGGAGAAAGGGATGGGAATGGTTTTGCAGATGGAGTTGGGAGTAAAGACTAAGGACAGATAAGGATGGGGATGAGGCAGGGGCTGGATTTAGAGGCAAAGATAGGATGGAAATGGAGATGGAAGTAGAGTTGGAAATAGCAGTTTGCTGAGGTTGAGGATGGGGATGGAGATGGGTTTGGGAGTCCGGCTGGAGTTACTGATGGAGGAGATAGTGAGAATGTCTGAGGGCCAGTGAAGCCCTACGTGGCAGCATAGGGGTGATGGTGCCCTCTTGTGTTCCGCTCGCCTCTTTGTTGACGCTGCTTCCCTGTCGTCCCACAGTTGAATACCCGCTCACGCTTCAGTGCGCCAACATCAGCGTCCTGGAGCCCCGCCTGTGCCATAGAGCCTACCCTGGTCGGATATCTTCCAACATGATTTGTGCTGGTATCTGGGAGGGTGGCCGAGGCTCCTGCCAGGTGAGACCTAGAGCCTTGGTCTCTAACGGAATCAGAAGCCGGTGATCCGAAGGAGGGTGGGGTCGGAATCAGGACCCTGGGTCCCCTTGGGGGATAGGAGCTATGAGGACAGGACTTGAGTCCCTGAAAGAGGCAGGGAATGGGGGACCAGGATGCCCGAATCCCTGAGCGGGGTAAGGGCTGGAGGATCAGGATGCCAGGGTCCTTGTTGGATCAGAACCCCTGAGTTTCTATGAGCTTTGAGAGCTAGGGAGGAGCTCGCATCCTTGCGAGGAGGCGGAGGGAGCACCTGGCTCCCAGTGCGGAGAGACGGTTGGGGTTGGGGAAATGGTCACGATTGGTTGGGCTGCGGGGGCCCGGGATGGGTGGGTGGTGGACCCACTAAAGCAAAGCGCATCAGCCTCATGCTTTGTCTTTCTCTCGGTTTACTCCTTTCCTTAACCGCACGTGGTTATCTCCCTCTCCTTTCTTCTCGCCTGTCTTTCGTGCCCTACTCTTTCTCTCTCTGCGCTTCCCTTCCCTCACCCCCGGGATGCAGGGAGACTCTGGGGGCCCACTGGTCTGTAACGGTGCCCTAGCGGGCGTGGTGTCAGGGGGAGCCGAACCCTGTTCCAAGCCCAAGCGACCAGCAGTCTACACCAGCGTCTGCCGCTACCGGGACTGGATCTACAAGACCATTAAGGAGAACTCTACGTGATTGGACTCCTCTAGGCCCCGCCCACTTGCGCTACTCCCCCAGGTCTTGCCTTCACGGGGGACACCCCTTTCGTGATCCCGCCCACCGCGGAAATGCCTCCCCATGACGTCAGCAACTTGGCTCCACCTTCAGCCTTTGATCCCACCCCTACCCCCTCAAGCCACGGAGCCCAGACCCTCCACGTGGCCTCTCCCCTTTGAGGGCCCACCCCCTTGAGGGCCCTCCCTACAGGCAAACAGCATGCTCTGGGACTATCCCCTTGGGACTACAAAGGGGAACTTGGGGACTCCATGGTGTGGGCGGGGAAGAACTGTCCCCTCTTACCTTACCCCCTTTAAGGACACTAACCCTAATAAGACTCGTCCTTCCGTTTTTTCATTCTGATATGAATCTTGGGGGGAGGGGGAAGAAGAGGAGAGGTCTGAGAATCTCACAGCTATAAAGCCCCTGAGCGGCTCTGTCATCCAACCGAAACATGAAGAAGAGTCCTTAGATCAAGAGGTCATCCACCCTGTCTGCTGAGGACCTCCAGGAAGGAAAACCTCCAAAACCTTCCAGGTGCTCCATTCCACTTTGGGCCAGCTCTCATTTTCCTGATATCAAGCCTAAACCAGCCCCTTTGCACCTTTTACTGGTTGTTCCTGGTCTTCTCTGGGGTAAAGATAAAAAATACATTCCTCCTTCCATGTGCCAGCCCCTCCAAATCTGGAAGACAGCTAGCATTCCCTACCACCTCCATGAGTCTTCCCTTCCCAAGGTTGAACATTCCCAGTTTCTCCCATCCCTCCTGATGTGGAATGAACTGAAGGCTGTCTTCCATCTTGGGCACCCTCTTCCGGATTCCCTCCAGTTCATAATGTTCTTCCTAAAATGTGGGCCCCAGAAGAGAATACAGCACTCCAGATGACCTGGACCATCACTTCCCTGCTCCTGGACACTACATCCCTCGAAGTATAGTGGAGAGATACTTCAAATCTCTATCCAGCACCTGCATACGGGGTGTCTGGCACATATTTGACATTTAAATAAATACTTGCTGAGTTTAATTGAACGTGGTTTAAGATTGCATTAGCTGTTTTTGGCTGCCTCATCACCCTATTGACTCATAGTGAGTTTGTGGTTTACATAAAGCGTGTAGGTCTTTCGAAAACTGTTGATTTCCTGGTCACGCCTTACCCTGTCCTGCGCTTATGAAGTAGATTTCTTTTGCTGTTGTTGTTGTTTATTTTTTCCCACTTAATAGTATTTAATTTTTTCCAATTACATGTAAAGATAGTTTTCAGCATTCACTTTTACAAGATTTGGAGTTTCAGATTTTTTTTTCTCCCTCCTCCCCCTCCAAGATGGCATGCAATCTGATATAGGCTATACATGCACAATCACATTAAACATATTTCCACATCAGTCATGTTGTGAAAGAATCAGAACAAAAGGAAAAAATCATGAGAAAGAAAAAAAACAATAAAAAAGAGAAAATAGTGTGCTTTGATCTGTATTCAGACTCCACAGTTCTTTCTCTGGATGTGGATAGCATTTTCCATTAAGAGTCTTTTGGAATTGTCTTAGATCATTGTATTTCTGACAAGAGCTAAGTCTATCAAATCTGGTCATGACACATTGTTGCTCTTACTGCCTACAATGTTCTCCTGGCTCTGCTCAATGAAACAGAGCTCTTGACCTTGAAGTATCAGGCTGCACCAGTGTGAATTTATCCCTCATAGGATACAGTCTCTACTACTTGTGGACTCCCCCCTCCCCACTCACACACACAGAAACACAATCAACCAAATTCCCAAGAGATTCCACTCTGTCTCTTCTACTTGTTCCCCACCCCCGAATCTCTAGTTCTATTTCAGCTGATTCCCAAACTTCAGTCATTTCACTCATATCTGACTCTTTGTGACTTGGGGTTTTCTTGGCAGAGATACTGGAGTGGTTTTCCATTTCCTTCTCCAGCTCATTTTGCAGATGAGGTAAATAGGGTTAAGTGACTTGTCCACAGTCACCCTGCTAGTATGTGTGTGAGGCTGGATTTGAACTCAGATCTTCCAGACTCTCGACCTTGCACTTTACCCACTATGCCACCTAGCTTCCCAACTCCCAAATTACCTGACTCTCAATAATCTATGCCTGCCTCACCCCATTCCACACACACTCAAGTTCACTGCAACCTATTCAGTATCCCATTGAGAAAAGGAAGGGAAGAAATGAGGAGGAGAGGGGTTTTGGTTTGGCAAGCATCATTTTAACCAACCTATCATCTACCAGTGTTCTAGGACTGGGATTCCAGGACAAAAAAAATGACACAAACCCTCCTAGCAATGAGCATCTAGTCAGTGCCCCTATTGTGCCCCTTCTTCCCAGGGGAGATAGAAGGGAACAGAGCGAGAAGGAAAAGGTATCAAACAGAGAATCTCTTCCCCGTCTCTTCCTGCTTGGAAGCAGCCGGGTCTAGTAGAAACCGCAGTGCCGGGGAGACAAGAGGCATGGCTCTGCCACTTTTGCGGCGTGTGCTTGGAGAAATCACTCTCTGGACCTGTTTCTTCCTCTGTAAAATGGGGTGGGGCGACTAGGTCAGGAATTCTTCGCCGTGTGTGTGTGTGTGTGTGTGTGTGGTGTGTGTGTGTGTGTGGTGTGTGTGTGTGACAGACCCCTTTGGTAGTCTGGTGAAGCCCTTTCCCAGAAACAAAAATGGAGGAAATGCTACATTTTAGTTAGAGGTTGGTGAAAATAAAGATGTATTTTCCCCCCGTCCAAGACTACGCATGCCTTCAAATCGATCCCACTTACCGCTAGACCCCGGGTTAAGGATTTGAGGACTAGATGATCTCTAAGTGCTCTTTGCGTTAACCCTACCCGACTGCTAAACAATTAGATTTCCGCCCCCTCTCTGCACCTTAGTGAATTTGGCTCAGAGGCAGCGGGTGTGGTGGGGGAAAAACCCCGGAACTGGGCTCCAAGAAGCCTGGCTTTGTCTCAGACAGACTGTGTGACCTGGGGAGTCACTTTACCTAGGTGAACCTCACTCATCTTCTTCTCTGCTGAGCACAAATACGTGGTGGCGGGAGGGGGAGGGAGTATATGACAATGGGGTAGATAGATCTCTAAGCACTTAGTCGGAGCTGACATCCTCTGTTCCGTGACTCCTTAACTCCTGTGAGTCCCGTGGAGAGATGTCCAGAACCTACCCCTCCCAGTCGCTGCATCCGCAGGAGAGGAAAGGGAAACCGGGTCATGGCGCCTCCCAAACCAGCCGTCCCGGATCTCTCCACCCGCCCCTCCTGGGACACAGGTCCCCGGGACTTCTCACCCGCCCCCGCTCCTTAATCCCACTGCTCCGAGGTCTGACTGCAGTCAGCCGTCCTTCCCTCCGGACCCGGGTGTCCAATCACTTAGCTGCAGACTCCTTCAGGGATGGAGGTATCAACCCCAGCCCCAGACCTCTTAGGGACCCAAACGTCCAGATCCCTAGTGCCTCTGATACAACCGGGTTTCTGGGTCCCAGCTCCCTAGGAAGCGACTGTCTTGCAAGAAGAGGCGGGGCGGGGCTAGGAGGGGCAGGGCGGGTCCGGGTCTGCCTCCTTTAAAGGCTCTGGCCCAAGGAGTTGGTGCTATCTGGGGACCAAAGGACCTGAAGCATTATAGGAGCTCTAAGGGGGGAACCAGCCAGGAGCCTGAGCCCAGAACTCCCCTCCCCGGAGGAGTCCCTAAGGTGAGGAAGCCCACACTGACCGGTCCCCAGCTCTCCCTTCAGGGTCTCAGGGGAGCAGTCCTCCTAATAGGGACCTAGGCATCCTTCCCTCCCCTCCACGTCAGGAGCCAGACATCCAGGCCATTAATTCCCAAACCACCGTCCCCGCAGGGATCCGGGCATCCTGTCTCCTGCTCCACTCAGAGATCCAGTCATCCTGATTATGCAGCTCATGGCCCTTCTCTCCCCCGAATCTCTTCCCCCACCCCATACCCAAGTCCTTCACTTCAGGGCTAGATGTCTGGAACTCGGTCCCTGCCCCTTCCGTGCTCCCTACTTCCCTCCAGCATTAGTCCCCAACTGACCTTCCCTCCACTGCCCAGCCCAGTAGGCCCTGCCATGGGACTGTCTTCAGGCTCCTGCTCCCACACCTGGAGACGCTGGGCCTTCCTCCCATTGCTACTGACCACTTGTGCAGGTGAGGTGGGGGGAGGGGATTTCAGCATGTGGTTAACATACCCAGAGTATGCCTTCCTTGTGCTTCTGAGGCTATGTGGGGAGGTGCGGGAACAGATTTGAACACTGAAAAAAAAAACACAGGGGAGCATGTGGGAAGGGGGGCTAGTTTGGGAGGATTTGCGGGACTGTGGGGGAGATCATGGGACCCTTTCTGAGAGCCCACTGGAGCGTGTGAATGCCTGTGGAGACACAGAGTGTTGGGGATGTTTCTGAGAGGCTAACAGAAGTGTGTGAGAACATACAGAGTGGGTCAGTCTTGGTATGTGGCATGGGTGAAGGAAGAGTGTAAATGTAGATTGTTGGGGTATCATAGGAAGAAATTTCTTCCCATATTCTTACCCCACTCTCTCTTCCTGTAGGGTAGCTTAGTAACCCTCCCCCTCACTTGCTATTTCAGGATCTCTCATGGCGGAGGACTCCAGGGTGCTGGGGGCGCAGCCCTGTGAACCTCATTCCCAGCCCTGGCAAGCTGGCTTGTTCCAGGGTGTGCGGTTCCTCTGTGGGGGGGTCCTGGTGGCCCCTCAGTGGGTTCTCACAGCAGCCCACTGTCAAAAACCGTGAGCCTTATGCTTGGGTCCCTAAGGGAGCAGGGCCTGGGGGAGAAGAATACCTGGGTTCCTAAGGAGGAGGTAGAGACTAGGCAAAACCCATCCATGGGCTGGTCTCTATCTCATTGTCTCTCAGTGACAGATCACTTTATTGAAGGGTGGGGGAAGAATTGGGGGATTGATGCCCTGATCTTTGAGAAGGCTGATGCCAAGGACCAAGTGTCTGCACAGATGCCTCAACGCATGGGGATGGGGGCGCCTCTGCTCATCTTCCTAAATTAAATACTTCACTGTAGTAGTCAGGGAGGAAGATCCTGTGTCCCCCAGTGGGGGCTCTGCCCTTTTGTGAGTGGCTACTTCACTGGGGAAGGTGGGAAGAGAGACTGGCTCTCTGAAGGACAGGCTTATCAGCTCTGGGTGTCTCTGCACCTGGGCATGTCTTTGTGCCTTCATGCTGCTGTGGGAATGACTTGCTGAAAGGGGTGGCCTGTGATTTGGAGGCTGAATCCCAGAAGGGCCAGTAGCTGGAATTCTGTTTATGTAGGTCCTCAGGGGCATGGGCTGAACTTATAGTTAGGTAGATCTCTGAGGTGCAGGGGCTAGGTGCCCAGAAGGCAGAGGATGGGAGGCAGGGGTAACCAAGGAGGCAGGAGTACAGATGCTGGTGTCTCTCAGTGGGGTGGGGACTGAGCAACTCAATGCCTTCATGCTCAGGGAGTGGGGCCTGAAGACCTGCATGTCTGAGTCTCTGTGGGGGAGAGGCTCAGTTATCTCAATTCCTGAGAGGGCTTGAGGCTGAAGGGCTAGACACCTGAATTTCAGATGACGGCAGAATAGGGGCACAAGGTTCTCAAATGGGAAGGGAAAGAATAATAGAGTCCCTGAAGGGTGGGTGCTGGGAGAATTGATCCCTGGGTCATACATTCTTTCCCCACCCCCACCAGGAAGTTCACAGTCCACCTAGGACAGCATAGCCTGCAGAACCCAGACGGTTCTGAGCAAAAGATCGAGGTAGCTCGATCCATCCCGCATCCTTGCCACAATGAATCCAATAGAAACAGCCATGACCTGATGCTGCTCAGACTTCGGAAACCAGCCAGTGTGAACGACCAAGTGAAGCCCATTGGACTTCCCTCTCGCTGCCCTCAGCCTAACCAGAAATGTACTGTGTCAGGTTGGGGTACCACCACCAGCCCCCGAGGTACTACTCCGGAAAGAGGGATAGTAGGATAAGAGTTAGAGTTGAAAAGAGGCCCTCCAAAGTCATGTCCTCCAATCCCCCTTCATTTTACAAAGGAAGAAACTGAGGCACCCCAGGGGCAAATGCCTTGTCCAAAGTCAAAGAGCTAAGAAGTACCAGACCCGGGATTCAAACCCAAATGAGCTCCCTCTAAACACTGGGCCCTTTTCAATGTGTGGTGCACATATGTGGTGCTGCTGGGACAGAGCAGGGAGATCCTAAGGCAGAGTGGCCAAAAGATCAAGCAAAGCTACTGGGGGGTGAAGGTTCTGGATTCTCCTGGATTTCAGTCTGAAGAACATAGGATGTTCCACTGCAGAGGGCCCTTGGTAAATAGAACACTGAAAGTGGAAGGCCCTCTATAGTGCGTCAGAGCTAGAATAAGCCTTAGAACATAGAACTTACAGAATGTAGAGAATCAGAACCAGGTAAACCTTCAGAATATACAACGGCAGAATATGAAGGGACAGCTCTAAGTCTGTTCCCATCAAAACTTTTCAGAATAGTACTACAATAGTTTAATCTCTAATATGGGCAACATAGATATAACCCACAGAAGCAAAAGCTGTTGTGGTAGGTCTTTAGTAATTTTAGAGTGCACAGGGATCCTGATATGGAAAAGTTTGAGAACTGTACATCTCCAGGGGTGGGGAATCTGCGGCCTCCAGGCCACATGTGGCCTTCTAGGTCCGTGGGTGCAGCCCTTTGATTGAGTCCAAGTTTTACAGAACAAATCCTTTCATTAAGGGGATTTGTTCTGTAAAGTTTGGATTCAGTCAAAGCGCTGAACTTGAAGACCCAGAGGGCCACAGTGGCCTCAAGGCTGCAGTTTCCCCACCCCTGATTAGTCCAACACCCTTATTTTAAATATTAGGAAACTTGGACCTAGAGAGGGAAATGGCTTCCTCAAGATCATAAAAGAAAAGATAAGGAAACCAGAGATTCTCCTTCCCTCTCTTCTTCTCCTTCCTTCCTTCCTTCTTCCCTCCCTCCTTTCCTCCTTTCTTTCCTCCCTCTTTTCCTTCTTTCCTCCTCCCTCCCTTTCTTCTCTTCCTTCTGTTCTTTCTTCTTTCTTTCCTCCTTCTTTTTCTTTTTTTGTCCCTCCCTCCCTTCCTCCCTTGCCTTCGGCACTTTGGAGGAGACAGAAAAAGTCCTCACAGTCTCAATGGGGCAGCAAGGCTAACACATTTGGAAGAGTGTTGTAGTCAGGAGATATCCGAAGTTGGGCAGAACTTCTTGGGGTCAAATCCCATCTCTGATAAATACGTTGAGGCCATTGACAGGTTGCTTAACATCTCATGCCCCAGGCTTTCTGATATACAGAATTACATGTGAGCTGTTGCCCTGCATTTGTGGGGAGAGTTTCTACAGTAGTATTTCTTTTTTTTCTTTTCAAAGTTTTTTTTTTAAGGCAATTGGGGTTAAGTGACTTGCCCAGGGTCACACAGCTAGTAAATGTGAAGTGTTTGGTTGGTCTGAGACCAGATTTGAACTCAGGTCCTCCTGACTTCAGGGCCGGTGCTGCATCCACTACACCACCTAGCTGCCTCCTACACTAGTTTTTTTTACAAGATGGAATCACAGGTAGGGACTTGAGAAGCCGTTGTTGTTGAGTTATGTCTGACTCTACGTGACCCCATGGATGTTGTCCTTGGAGTTTTCTTGGCAAAGATACTGAAGTGGTTTGCCATTTCCTTCTCCAGTGTGTCTCCATTTTACAGATGAGAAACTGAAGCAAATAGGGGTTAAGTGACTTGCCCAGGGTCACACAGTCAGTGTCTGACACCACATTTGAACTCAGATCTTTCTGACTCCAAGCCCAGAGCTCTGTTCACTTTGCCACCTAGTTGCTTCAAGAAACCCTAGTAGTGTATAATTAAATGAGAAATGAGATCATGCAGACTCCTCATGGCAGTAGGAGTTTATCCAAACAGTATATGAAGTAGTAACACTTATATAGCCCTTTGGTAGGGTAAAGAGGAGAAGCCCCATATAGTGGACTGAATGCTGGGCTTGGAATCCTAGAGAACAGACTTCAGATATTTCCTCTGCCGCTTACCAGCTGTGTGACACTGGGAAAATCACTCAGCCTTTCTGAACGTCAGGCAAGTCTCTTAAGACTAAACTCCTAGAAAGAATGGGCCAGGGAGGAGGGAGTAATCATCCTGAGAAAATCATAGATCCTTGACATGTTGACATCTTGATTGCTTGACCCCCAGGACCCAGTTTGATCTTCTCAACAGTTTTGGGATGTAGGCAATGCATTATTTTCCATACAGCTAGTAAAAGGCAGCTAGGTGGCACAGTAGATAGAGCTCCGGCCTTGGAGTCAGGAGGACATGAGTTCAAATATGGTCTCACACGCTCGACACTTACTAGCTATGTGACCCTGGGCAAGTCACTTAACCCTGATTGCCTAGCCAAAAAGCAAAATAAAAAAAAAAAGCAACATACAGCTAAGTGACAGAGTCAGGACTCCAAACTATTCATTCATTTATTCATTCATTCATTCATTCATTCATTCATTCATTCCCATAGTATCTACTGTGTGTCAGGCACCAGGTTAGGCAATATAGTGACAAAAATGACACTTTTTCCACTACACATCTCAGACACTGACTAGCTGTGTGAGCCTGGGCAAGTCACTTTGCCTTTATTTGCCTCAGTTTCTTCAGCTGTAATTTGGAATAATAATAGAACCTCCTACCCAGAGTTTTTGTGAGGATCAAATTTGATAATATTTATAAAGTGCCTTGGAAATATTAAAGCACTATGTAGATGATAGCTACTATTGTCAGTGTTGTTGTTATATTGTCCTGTATCTTGACGCAAATGAGACTTGAGTTGGCTCCTGTAGAATAAGTCAAGAAGAGCCTCAACATTTCAAAGTAATTAAAAAAAAATAAGTGTGATAGAATTGGGGGTTGTGGGAGATAGGTTTATTATAAATAGGGTCATGGGTTAGGACTTTAAAATCTCTCTCTAAGCTGAAATGTTGGGCTGAAGCTCACAAGGTAAAATTTTATAGGGATATCAAGTCTTTTTTATGATCCTTTCCATTCTATTTTTTTCTTTTTAAAAACATTTTAGTATTTTATTTTTTCCCAGTTACATTTAAAAACGATTTTTAACAATCATTTTTAAAACTTTGAGTTCCAAATTCTCTCCCTTCCTCCCTCCCTCCCATTAAGAAGGTGAGCAATTCAATATAGGTTTTACATGTGTAGTCATGCAAAACACTTCCATAATAGTCATGCTGCGAAAGAAAACATAGAGCAAAAAAACAAAAAACAAAAAACCCTCAAGGAAAATAAAGTAAAAAAAAATGCTTCAGTCTATATTCAGACTAAGTGTCAAGTCTTAATCCAGCCTCTGACACTTACTAGCTGTGTGACCCTAGGCAAGTCACTTCACCCTGTTTGCCTTAGTTCCTCATCTGTAAAATGAGCTGCAGAAAAAAATGGCAAACCACTCCAGTATCTCTGCCAAGAAAACCCCAATGGAATCACAGAGAGTCAGAATAGGATTAATTGACTGAGCAATGACAATAAAGTCTTGGATTTGGTTAAACACACTCACACACTCACACACACACACCACACACACACACATGCATGAGTGAGCACAAACAACTACCACCCGAAACAAATCCGTGAGGGAATGGTGGTTTTGAATGTCAGAAGAGACCTCAGCAGCAGCACCCAGTCCAACAGTAACCTACAGGAATGCCTCTTATTGCCCACTGGACGAGTGGTGGGTGTTCAGTCTCTCCTGGAAGACTTCAAGTCCTTATGAGGCCACCCAGCCATCTCTAGGACACTTCTAACTTGGGGGGACTTTTTTCCAGATATTGAATTTGAATCTATTCCCTGACAGAACAAGCCTAACTCCTCCTCCCTGTCACAGCTTTTCACATATGAATGCCCTCTGCCACATCAATGCCCTAAAATGTGGTGCCCAGAACTGAAACTAGATATGTTCTGGCTTGGGCAAAAAAAAATGAGTTCAATGGCACCATCACATCCTATTCCTGGAAAAGCCTTTCTTAATAGGGTCAGAAATCATGTTAGTCTTTTTTTTTTTTTGCCTTTTTAGTGAGGCAGTCAGGGTTAAGGGACTTACCTAGCGTCACACAGCTAGTCAATATCACGCATCTGAGGCCAGATTAGAACTCAGGTCCTCCTGACTCTAGGACCAGTGCTCTATCCACTTCGCCACCTAGTTGCCCCGTAACCTTCATTTTCTTTATACCCTTTTATAGTCTGAGACTTGGAGTCAGGAAGACCTGAATTCAAATCTGACCTCAGACACTTACTAGCTATGTAAGCCTGGGCAAGTCACGTAACCATTGCTTGTCTCAGTTTCTTGACCTATAAAAATGGGGATGATAATAGCATAGACTTCCCAGGGTTGTTGTGACAATAAAATTAGATAATATTAGTAAAATGTTTTGCAAACCTTATGTTTATGATGGTGATTAGTGATATTAATAATAACAGCTAAGATTTACATAGCACTTATGTGGCAGGGTAATGTACCAAGTGCTCTATAATTATTACTTTATTTGATCCTCAAGACAATTCTGTGAGGTAGTGCTATTATCTTCATTTTACAGTTGAGGAAATTGAGGCAAAGAGAGGTTAAGTGCCTTGCTTAGGGCCACACAGTTAGTAAGTGTCTAAGACCAGATTTAAACTCAGGTCTTCTTGATTCCAGGTCCAGTAATCTATTCACTGTGCCACCTAGCTGCCTCAGTAGTAGTAGTAGGAGGAGGAGGAAGAGCAGCAGTAGCAACATTGACAGTAACAATAGCAGTAGTAGGTAATTGGTAACAATTGTTAGTAGTAAGTAGTAGGAGTAGTTGTTAGCAGTATTAGGGATGGTGGTGATGGTACTAGTGTAAATAATAGGGAGCAATTGTTAGTAGCAGAGGCAATGGTGGTGATGGTGGTAGTAACAATAGTAGTAGCAGTAAATAATAGGTGACAGTTGTTAGTAGTAGGGGTGGCGATGGTAGTAGTAGCAGCTGCAGCTGCAGCAGTATTTAGCCCCGTGTCTTGACTTATAAAGCTTTTTGACATCCTGATAGTGTCATCCAGTGTTTCAGACAATCCCTCCCAACTTTGTTTTACCTGCAAATTGTGCTGAGTACATGCTAGGGAAGGCATAAGGAGACCACATTTTATGTGAAGAGGAGCTAGTGTCTACTTGGTCTTTGAGTCTAATGAGAATCAACAATGTGACCTAGTCCAAAAGGTCCATTGGATCTCAGGACACCTGGAGAGTAGCCAGGTGTCCAGCAGTTGGGGGAGGCCTTCCAAGCCCACCAAATTCTTCTCTGGTCACTCCCCTTCTTGTATGTGCTGTTCTGAGGAGACACGTTTTAGGAAGGATATCAAAATTCGGGAGCAGATCCAGAGGAGGGTAAACAGGACAGGGAAGGGGTTTGGAAGCAGGGAATAAGGGGAATGACTGAAGAAGCAGGAGTGTTTGGCCTGGAGAAGAAAACGACAACAATAACAGCAAGTTGAAGTTTGGGTGTAGGGAGGGGGAGGGGAGAGGGGACACACTGTCTGTCCTGGAGTCTCTGAAGGGTTATCATATGGAAGGGAAATTTGATTCATTCTTTTTGGGCTCAGAGGCAGAACTAGAAACAGCAAGTAACTTCAAAGAGGGCAGATTTCAGCTTGAGTAAAGGAAGAGTGCTGAGCACAATGCCTGGGCCAGAGCAGGCACCTAATAAATGCTTGTGAACTAATTATTAGAACAATATAACAATGAATAATCTCATGATGTAATGGACTTATCAGGAAGGGAGCTTTCCATCCTGAACGTATTCTGGAAAAGGCTGGAGTGACATAAAGAGTGTGTAAGAGAGATAGTGAGGAAGAAAAAGAGGAGAGAAGAGAAGAACATGGAAAGAATGGCGCAGGGATAGGAAAAGAGAGGAGAGGGTAAGAGAGAAGGGGAGAAAAAAAGGAAAAGGTAAGAGTATGGATGAGAAGAAAGGAAAGGAGGAGAAGAGGTGGGGGAGAGAAGAGGAGGACAGGAAGAGAGGATAAGAGGAGGGAAGAGGAGAAAGGAAGGGAGGAGGGGAGACAAGGAGAAAGAAAGGGGAAGTGGGGTAAAGGAAGAGAGAGGAGGAGAGGAGTGGAAAAGACAGCAGGGGAGAACTGCTCTGGGATTAGAGAAAACTAATATACAGAAGGTGTAGATAGTAACAGAGGTAGAAAGTGGCAAGGAGAGCCCGAGGTGAAGAGTCTGTGGGTCAGATGACTCTTCAGTGATTGGATTCTAGACTTTTCCAGGTGAGGCTCAGCAGTCACTTCTCTGGATTGAGAAATCAAGATGGGGGGCAGGAAAAGGATGAAAGAATGATTTTGTAAAGCGTCGGGATCAGAAGCTCTTCTACCACAGAGTGGAAGACGTTCCTATTCAGGAAATGGGCCCCATTAGCAGACTTTCCCCCTATTTATTTACCATATTTTGGAAGGAGAACTAGAATGTTCAAGTTCCATCACCAGGTTTTGCCCTTCAGTCCTATCATCTTTATTTAGAGAGCTCTCAAATCTTCAAATTGAGCTTTAAAAAACAAACAAAAAGCCCCCTTGTTTAGTTATTTCTTCTTTCCCTTCTGCATTTTGACCTTCCATCTGGCCTGATTCCTCGTGAGAGAATCAACCATTTTATTAAGATTTTCCACTAAATGTTTCAAAATGTTCAGTTTTACATTTTATTATGTTTCTTTCTTCCTGAATCAATTTTAATTCCATCTTTATTGAACTGGGAGACTCCTTTATTTCTCTTATTGAACTTATGAAAATGCATTGAACATTCTTGAAGCAAATCTAAGTTTGCTTTTAGGGATATCGATTTCCTTGTTATTTTCTTTCCTTCTGAGTCCTTTTATCCCATGCTATGCATTCACGAATTGGAACCTTTAAAAATTATGTTTACCCATTTCTTCAATCATTCTCCCTGCTCCCCCCCACCCCAATATAGATGAGGAAAGCTAAGGACTGGAAAGGGTGGGAGTTGGCCATGTCTTCATCCATCAAGCTAGTTGGCTAAAGAATTGCGCTTTACAAGAACAATGAAGTTTCCAGTTGCAAATCTTTCAAATTTTGCAGCTACAAATTTGTGAGTTTTCCCATCACTAATCAACTTTTTCTCCCCAACCCCAACCCCAGAGAACTTTCCTGACACCCTGCACTGTGGAGACCTGTACATCTGGTCCCAGGATCTCTGTGAGCAGGCCTACCCAGGCAAGATTTCAGATGGCATGGTGTGTGCAGGGGACAGCAACGGTGTGGACACCTGTCAGGTCAGGGCTCACAGGGAAGAAGTTGGAAGTGGGGGTGGTGACACTGGGGTTGGATGAAGGGACTTGGGGGAGCATAGAAACAACACCATGGTGCAGTGGAAGGAGTCTTTGTTTGGATTCATAGGTCTTTACAAGCCTTTTGGCCAGCCTCCTCATTTTACAAAAATAAGAAACTGAGGCCCAGAGAGGTTGATTTCCCCCAGGTCACATAGGTGGTAAGTGAACAACCACAGGATTTGAACCCAGGCCCTCTTACTCTAGATCAATGTTGCTTTCCACTGTCTCACAACTATAGGATATTGCCACTGGAACGGACTTTGGAGATCACATCATCTTTTTTTTTTTTTGCTTGTTTGTTTAGCTGTTTTTCAGTTGTGTCCAACTCTTCATGACCCCATTTGTTGTTTTCTTGGCAGAGATACTGGAGTGGTTTGCTATTTCTTTTTCTAGCTCATTTTACAGATGAGGAAACTGAGGCAAACAGAGGTTAAGTGACTTGCCCAGGGTCACACAGCTAGTATCTGAAGCCAGATTTGAACTCAGAAAGAGTCTTCCTGACTCCAGGCCCTGCGCTCTATCCATTGTACCACTTGGTAATTTTACACATGTGGAAACAGGCTCAGAGACCAGGCCTGACTTGGGGGGGGGGGGAGGTAGGAGGAGGATCATTGTAAGTTAGTGGCAGGACCTGGATTTGAAGCCAAAGCTTCTGATTACAAATTTCTACCTCTTCCTACTAAACCACACCTCTTCTGAAAGACCTGGGCTCAAATCCAAAGATCTGGTTCTCATCATCTGTGTTATTTTAGTCAGGCCATCATCATTGTCTGGGCCTCAGTTTTCTCATTTGTAAAATGAGAGGGTAGGGCTAGATGGTCTCTAAGGACCCTTCCAGTCATGATCATATGATTTAGAGAGGAGTGTTTTACATAGCTCAGGACAAGAGAAGGCCAGGGAGTTGTCCCCCCATCTTGTTTAAAGGGCACATCTGGAGGGACAGAAAAGAGGCTTGGGAAGCCCTTTACAATGTCTCTGAATATGGACTGGGGAGCCATTATTTCTTCTAACCAGAACTAAGGTCCTTTGGTTGAGGCCATTCCCCTTCTCCAGGGAGACAATGCCCTCTTCCCAGTTGGCAGGGGCTGGGCCAATGTCTGGAAACCAAGGCTGGGTTCTCTAGGTGAAGTTAAACTGTATCAACCAGGATTCAAATGGAGGACAATGTCCTTTCCCCATTGGCTGAGGCATCCAGGTAGAAAAGTTGATAGCTCCCGGTCTTGGAATCAGGAAGACATCTTCGAGTTCAAGGCCTCAGACACTACCTTTGTGACCCTGGGCAAGTCACTTAATCCTGCTTGTCTCAGTTTCTTCATCTGTAAAATGAGCAGGAGAAGGAAATGACAAACCACTTCAATATCTTTGCCAAAGAGACCCTAAGATAGGGTCAGGGAAAGTCGGACACAACTGAGCAACAAAAGAAAGGGAGGGCAGTTGTCTGGCTTTCCGGGCAGAAAGAGAGATCTCGGCTAGAGTAAAGAGGTCCCTTTAATGATCCATTTCCTCGTCAAGGCCAAGGCTGGTCTCTGGGAAGAAGTCTCAGCTCTTACCACCTCCCTGGCTCCCCCTTCCAAAAAATGACTTCCGCCCATCGAGACTCAAGCTGTTTCCTGTCCTCACTCTCTCATTTAGGGTGACTCAGGGGGCCCTTTGGTGTGCCAGGGAGTTCTCCAGGGAATCACATCTTGGGGCGCAGATCCATGTGGGAGAGCGGATAAGCCAGGCGTCTACACCAGTGTCTGCCGCTATACGGAGTGGATTAAGAAGATCGTCAATGCTAACTGAGCCCGCGCTGGGGGTGGGTCGGGGAGGAGGAAGGGGCTGTCCTTCACCCTTAATAAACAAGTAGCCCAGGTTGCGCTCCCGTAGACCTGCCCACCCTTGGACAGGGCCGAAACAGAGCTCTAAGGCTCTCCAAGGCGTGCGTGCATCGCTCTCAATCTGGGGGCTACCTTTTTCTTTCTCCCTGTGATTCCTTCCTCGAGACTTGGCTTGGGGGGAGGAGGGAGTGTTCAGTGGTCGGCACTGTGCGTGTGTCTCTGGATTTCTCCCTATGTCTCGTTTCTGTTCTTTCCTTCGGTCTTCCCTCTCCGTTTTTATCTCGCACTCTTTGCCTCCCCCCCCCTTTTTTTTCTTCTCCCGGTATCGGCGCTGTCTCCCCCAGCTTCTCTTTGCTGTCTGTCCGTTCGACACCATTCTCTGGGCTTTCCGCAGTCTCTGCATCTCTGACAGTCTCTGCTCTCTCCCGAAGGTGCGGCCCTTCTGTCTCTCGTGTGTCATTCTCTCTGCCTTTCTCCGCGTTGTCTCTCCCCCAGCGCCCCTTTGCAATTCGCCTGAGCCCCCTCACCCCCTTCCCCGCCCCTGTTCTCTGGGATCTCCTTTCTCTATCTCTGACAGTTTTCTCCTTTTCCCCTGTCTTCAGGCCACCCGCCTCCCGCGGCTGGCGTCTGTGGGTATGGGGCCGTGCTCCGCCCCAGTGGCCCTTTGGTTCCGCTCCTGGCCGCAGCTCTTTCCCAATCCCTCCCGGGGCCAGGGCAGAGGGAGGCACGTCCTCTTGGGTGGTCCCCAGAGGAGGGTGGGGCACTGGGGAGGAGCCAAAGGACAGGAGACACAAGGTGGCTCTCAAACCCTCCAGACAGGCCGTCGGATGGTTGCCCAGACGGCCAGCCAGGCAAATGGGTCCAGTCCTCCAGTCCGTCTGACCTTCACCCAGGCTTCATTACGATCTGGAGTCCCAGGACACGGCTTGCGAGCCCAGCTGCACCCTGGCCATGGCCTCCTGGGGCTTGTCTTCTCCTGGGCTCAGGCCTGCCCCGGCCTGCAAGTTCGTGAGCAGCTCCCAGCCCTCCCGGCCCTCATTCTCCCACTCGGCTCACTAGGCGTTCTGGGCCCGCCCCTAAACCCCGCCCTGCTCCCCTGGCGTTCTCTGCCCTCCCCCAAGCCGTGCCTTGCCCATGCCAACGGCCTATCCCTGCCCACTCTGTTCCCGTCCACCCTAACTTGTACTCTTGCTTCCCTTCCCAGGGCCCCCACAGCTCTCTAGTTCCACCCTCCGCGTCTTTGCTCCACTCTTTTTGCCCCATGTCCCCAGTACATTAAGTCATTCCCTTCCTGCCAGATTCTCCCCTCCAGGCTGGACCTTGTGCCCCCATTCCCACTCACACTTTGCTCAGGCGGCCTGGCCTAACCCTGCTCCCAGACCATGTCCTCAACCCACTTCCCCCTCGTCCCCTCCTTGAATTCCTAGACTTTCAGTCTTGCGACCACCCTAGTTTTCTTTTTCTTCCTCAAAAGTCCCTTACTTCTGGACCCGCCCCAGCCCCCCCCACCTCCCGTTTCCGCTCCAGAATTAGACCTCTGCCCACTTGACCTAACTCTCGCATAGAGCATCTGGTTCTCCCGCCCCGCCAGTCCCAGTCCCTCCCATTTTAGTTTATCTGTGATTGAAGATCCTGGACCCACAGACTGGTATCTTGGCAACTTGAGCAGCTTGGGCTGGGGAAGAAGCTGAGGGAGATGGACTCTTGAATTTCATAGAGGTTTGGGTCCTGGGGATCATTGCTTAGATCCTTAGTGAGTCTGGGAGCTGATGATTCTCAAAAGATAGTGGTCTGGAGATCCCAGGGGAAAGGTCAGGAGGGATCTCTTTAAATATTCATGTTCCCCTGGTCTACACAACATGCCTATGAAGTAGGTTCTGTAGGGGTTGTTGCTGTTGGACTCTTTGTGACCCCGTGGACCATACTGTTGTGTGTTTTTTTTGTTTGTTTGTTTGTTTTTGCTTTTTGGTGAGGCAATCAGGGTTAAGTGACTTGCCCAGGGTCACACAGCTAGTAAGCATCAAATGTCTGATATCACACTTGAACTCAGGTCCTCCTGACTCCAAGGCCACAGCTCTATCCACTTTGCTACCGAGCTGCCCTGACCATACTGTTGATGGGGATTTTCTTGGCAAAGATGCTGGAGTGGTTTGCCATTTTCTTTTCCAGGAGATTAAGGCAAACAGAGTTCAGTGAGTTGACCAGGGTCGAACCACTAGTAAGTACCTGAGGCTGGATTTGAGCTCAGGTTTTCCTGACTCCAGGCCCAGCACTCTACCCACTGAGCCTCCTAGCTGCCTCCTGTATAGAAGTTATTATTCCCATTTTTGACTGTCGGAGTGTGACCCTGGGCAAGTCACTTAACCCCCATTGCCTAAAAAAAATGTTTATTGAGAGGAAAAAAGTCTTAGCTGATAAGTGCTGCATTTGCACCTGGGTTCAAATCCCAGTTCCAATGCTTAATAGTTGTGACCCTGGGCAAGTCACTTAACCAGCCTTCAGTTTCCTCATTTAATGGGACTCCATGACCTTTAAGGTCTCTTCCTCTGATACATTTTTGTTTGTCTATGTATTTGTATCATATGAACTGAGGCTGAGTATAGCTAATGAGCCCCCATCAGTGTGACCCTTCTCAAGATTATCAGTTGTTGCCAACTATACAGTCAGACAGATATTATTAAAGTAATGTGGTAAGAATAGTTGGCACAAAACATCTCCTCCAAACTCTGTGGCATACCCAGCCATAAGTACATATGGAGTCATTATAAGCTGATGATACATTCGGCAAAGTGGAATATCTCACAAGCCCTAGAAGTCTCTTTGCTAGAGGTATCAATGTGCTCCCCTTCAGTATACTGCAGCTTTCTTCTGGGCTCTTTGTAGAGTTTGTTTTTTTTTTTTGGCTAGGCAATGGGGTTACATGACTTGCCCAGGGTCACACAGCTAGTGATTGCCAAGTGTCTGAGGCTGGATTTGAACTCAGGCCCTTCTGTCTCCAGGGCCACTGCTCTATCCACTCTGCCACCTAGCTGACCCTCTTTGTAGAGTTTTAAAGGGGCCTTTCTGCAGTGTGTCTAGTTTGTTTCTGGTTCCCACTGCTGCTCTTGAGATAGTGTTAGGACCCCCCTAAGAGAAGTCCAAATCCTTGGATCCATTGACTTTGCAAGGTCATTCTCTGGCTGAGGAAGGGGAGGAGACAGAGGCTTTACTCTGATCCCTTCTGGAAGTGATTCCCTCTCATCAGCTTGACTGGAACTGTTCTCCCCTCTAAGCTTCCAGAAACTCAAAACACTGGGTTTGGAACTGGACTGCTACTTACAGAAGACCCAAAGGGTGAGATAGGGTGAATATTACATGGAAATTTTTGGCTAATTGATTCAACAGAGATGATCTCACCTGACAAAAGTGTCAGAGCTAGAGTATTTGAGGTGTTACTTTAAGTGTGGGTGGGGTGATTCCCTACACATACATATTTTTTTTCACCCCACAGCAATTTCCCAGTGAGAGGCAGCAGGTGGTAGTAGATAGAATAGAGGGTAGTTATTGAATCAGGAATTTAAATCCTGATTTTGACACTTCCTGTTTGTGTGATCATGGGAGATCATGTAACCTCTCAGAGAACCAAGCCACTCTCTATGATATTCATTTGCAGAGGAAGGTTTAAAAGACAAAACAAACAAAACAACAATGAAGTCACAGTTTCAGACCCTCTATCTTTCCAATCCCTAGGTAGCCCTTTCACCAAAGACTCCTTCATAAAACAAAAAAATTAAGTAGAATCAATTGACAAAGCAACCATGACCATATATGATCGTGTATGCAACAACTCAAACCCCCAGGACCCCTTTTCTCTATCAAATAAATGAAAGATTTTTTTTTCAAAAAGCCTTTGTTAAGTGCCTCCTGTTTGCCAGGTCTTGTACTAAGTGCTGGAGATACAAATGTGAACAAACAAATTTCCGCCCTCAGGACAGGTGAGAGAGACCAAGAGATGAAAAAATGGAGAGCTAAGCAATGAGAGATCAGAGACCACAATACACGCAGGTGAGAGAAGTAAAGAAACGTGCTGAGAAAAAAGACAAGAATACAAAGAGGTCCTCTGACTTTTAACCTCTGGCTCCCATCCATCATTCTGTAGGAGCGGCTGTGATGACTCTCCTCTCCTAGGAACCTCAGGAGCACCCTGTATACAGAATGATCTTTATTTTCTAGGCATCTGCAGGAAGAGAGATAAACAGAGACACAGAAACTCGGAGAGAGCCTCAGGAACTTTAGGATGCTGGCAGAAGAACAGCTGGGGGAGGGTGATAGGAGTGGTTCTGTGCTGTCTCCTGAGGGCCTCTCCAGTCTCTTTCCCAATGCTCTACTTCCCGAGTCCCTTTTTCTTATTACACTTGGGGATTAGGGCAGCTGAGCCATCGTGGCAAGATGTCAGCAGTTGTTAACAATAGACGTGTGCTCTGTACCAACTTCTGTTCCAAGCTGATGTTGCCTTATAATAGCAAATAGAAGCAAGAAGAGGTAGAATTTCCAGACTGGTATTAATTGAATTGCTGCCCCAGGACTGTTTATTTTGGAAACTGGGAGAAGTCATGAGCAAGATAAGACCTCTTTTTTGGCAGAGAAATATGACTGTACAAGGATGACATGCAAATGGGCAGAGGTCCATATTTTTTAAACTGAAAAAAAGGGGGAGGGAGAACTCCTTAAGTGTATATCTCTTAAGCTAGGTAGTAGAGAATATACTGACAGTATAGCAAGAAAAATCATTTTAAGATGATCAGAAACTCAGAATACAAAATCCAAGAAAGGAGACAGAAATAAAGCTCAACTTCTTAGAAGTCTCTAAAAAATGTACACATTATGGGGAACAAGTAAAGTGAATTAGTGACCCCCATTGCAAAGAGGAACATTCTATCTTGCAGATATTATTATTACCTTGGAGAACAGGAACAATGATTGAAATATGGCTTTGGAAGGATATGTCTTAATCAATGGAATTTCATAGGTCAAGTTGGGAGGGGGAGTACCATTCCATATTAAGAAGATATATTCATTCAAAGAAACATAGAAACCAGAGGGGAGAAACATAGAGCATTGAGTGAAGACCCTGAAAGGCAGAAAAAGTAGCTATTTTGGCATG